TGCTAAAGGCAATATTTTCTCCTACGCCGGAAGTTGGGGAGGAATGTAGTAATAGGCGATTGTCAAATAATCTCTGTGTAATCTCTTCACCCGTATGGTGCTGCCACCTAGGCAGGTGTTTTTGGAAGAGTTGTGGATCCGCCTATAGTTTTCATCAAGCAGTAATAAACGATAGTCATGTTCCTTGAATCACGACCTTTGTCAGTGTGTACAACCAATGTGAAAGATATCATCACCGCGCCTTAAGCCTGCCGCCTTGCTAGCGGCAAGTTAATCGAAAGCGCGGCTATAGTACTAAGCTACACGGCCACTATAGCTCTAGTACTATAGCTCGCGGAATAGTACATTCTGCCTAAGATGTAATCTATCAAATGCTCCAACTGGGGCGCAAGGATAGAGAAACATGGGTCCCAATAAACGAATGTGCCTAATATATACCCTTAACCCTAACCACTACTGCCTAACCATACTATGATATAATAATTATACTTCATCTATATAGTAATGACTGTAACAGCCGCGTGTAATTTGACGTATCTCCGTCCGAAACACGCCGTAGGGAATTCACTTTACCTCTCACCGTGGGGGTTCCAACGTGGCAAAGACGATAAGCTATTCACTAAGCTTTATTGTACATAACAACGTACTAAAAGCAATCATTTCACACATCGACAACAACACTTTCCTCTTCAGCAGTCCGCCATTGCGATGCGTAAGTTGCTGGATCTCTCTAGCGATATGTCTGGCGGCTATTTTGTACCAATCTAGAGAAAAAACACAGCACAAAGCGAATCGGCACAACCAGGCCAAGATAAATCTTAAATAACTACTCATAATATCGTTATTGGTGTAATCTAATGTGTGCATCAATGTGATCATTGTGAGTTTCTCATTGCGTTGAGTGAGTAGATACGGTTTTCATGTCAGTGCGTGAGAATGGGTTTGTAACGCCGTATCATAAATCATGTGGCGTACGTGTATCATGTAGGCCTATCCGTTGACGTGTTAATCTGTATGTAGAGACGGCCGGCCTACGAAGGCTAGCGTATGTGACATGTAGATTGAGACCTGTGTGACTGTAAACTCAGTGTTACGTATGTGAACTGTAGACTGAGATGTAAACATCGCCGGCAGCAGGCCTGCATACGCTCCTAACCGAATAATTCTTGTCCTCAGATAAACGTTTTAGATTTTGTGCAATAACCTTACCAAAATACGACGTATAGATGTGACTAAGCAGAACCGGGGTAGATTGAGATGTGCGTATGTGACTGTAGATTGAGATGTGGCGTATCTTGAACTGTAGATATGAGATGTGCGTATGTGTATTGTGACTGTAGGCTTGAGATGTGCCGTATGTACTGATATTGAGATGTTGCTATATGAGCTGTAGATTGACGATGTGTCGTATGTACTGTAGGTTGAGATGTGCGTATGAGACTGTAGTTGAAATGTGTGTATGTGACTGTAGATTTGAGATGTGCGTATGTTACTGTAGAGTTGAGATGTGCGTATGTGACTGTAGATTGAGATGTGGCGTATGTGACTCAGACTGTAGACCGAGATGTACGTACGTGACTAAACTGAGATGTAGCATGTACCGTGTAACGTGTGACTGTGAACTGATATACATATGGTGAAGGTGATAACAAGGATGCACGTTTATTGGTTCTTATATTATTATATATAATTAGCTCCTGACTTCGCATTGAAGAAAATAGTGTGTCCTGCGTCATCTTATAATATCGATGCACTTCTTTCATCAGGCCATCAAATCATTCCGCAAACAAATGTAAAAAGGGTAAAATTTAGACTTTTAGAAATAATTTTTACCAGAACTGCAAAAAAACCAGCCGCAAATATTTACGGTTTACAATATGCCACAGTCGACTTTGGGCCAAACATTCAACTTCGTGCAGAGCACGGGTATTTGCTAGTATTGATGTAAATGACATTGGTTTAATTGGGACCCATGTTTTCTATCTTTGAACGACATCTCACCTATCTGTTTTGAACACTTTCCACAACTTTACACAGGTATTTATGCATTTATTCCTCAAAGTCAGCACTTATTGAAATTACATTTCAAATCATATGGCGTGCGCACCAGCATAAAAATAACTTTTTATAGGATATAATAGATTATTTTATCTATTATTATTATTATTATCTATTATTATTATAGACTATAGATAATTATTATAGCTTATTATTATTATAGACTATAGATAATTTATAGGATAATAGGAGTAGATAATAGGGAAGGAGTGTGCCTCCAATAAACAAGGGAAAATCGTCATTTACTAGCCTATATATACCTACGATTTACTACGCGTAACTCATCAACTTGAGCTCAAATCGTACACAGTACATTCGACCATCATCGTACCAGATCGTTTCCTCGTAGACACCCGCAATCCGGAGATACAGACTAAAACATACGACACGATTCACAAATCTTTGTCCATTAATCAACCGTAGAGACCGCCTATAATTCAGACAAAAGGCAGCACGATTGCTGCCGCTGCGTTTGCTGTTGGAATGTGGAAATGTGGGGGGCGTTGTGACTCGCGAGGAGATTGGAAATCGACGCAACCATAGACGAGCTAATCATGACCTATTTGCAGCTAGTATGCCCCCCCCCCAACCGCAATCAGCAGCAGCTCTGCGGCTCAGCCAGCGTGTATAACGCGTGTATAAACAATACGTACTGTTACGTGCAATACGTGCGTACAATATACGTGCTGTTAGGCTCCTGCTCACGTGCAGAGGTTCGTGTACACGTTGCTATGACTATATTGCTGTCACTGGTCATGTAAATAAATAGTGTGGTACGATCGCTGTTGAGCCAGACCAGTTTGTATATATCTTGTATATTCAGTAATAATCTGTAATTGTTTATAATATCTGCAAATTATCATCATGGATAGCACACCAGTAAAGTGTGCGGGTAGCAGTGCTCTTCCTCAAACACCACGACGATCCCCTAGACTCGCCCTAAAGAGGAAAATAATAGGCCGTGAACATAGCTATAGTGTGCATGGAACTCACCAGATAACGAAGTTACCTACAATATTTGGCAAATTCCTGGACCATATACAATCCTTTTCTATCCACAACGACTACAAACTGAACCAGTGCAAATTTTATGATGAAGAGTCAGGCTGGTTTCTTACAGTATTGCCGGAGAAATTAAAGATTCCTGCCAGTAGGGTTGGACCAATAAGTGTTGTAAATATAGTCGTGAGTGGAGAAGGGAAAGTAGGTTTGCGAGTGTTAGAGGCTGTTGTGGAGGAGCAGGATTGTGTTGTCGAAGGCATATATATGAGTGACCTCTTTGAAGACATGCTTAAGAAACTTATTACCTATGAACCCTGTTTAGGTTTGGATGAAGCAAAATATAAATCAGTTACTGGACATTTGCGATACTCGCCGAAATGTGTGCGGAAACAATTCCCTTATATTCACTACGTGTCACAAGCATGTGAAGTTTACATCAAGCCTTTAAGAAAAACGTCAACTACATGCAGGAAGTGCTCTCAGATGTTAAGGAACATGCGACGTGGTAATGTGAAAGCATCAAAATTAACAGATTCTGCAAAAAAAAGGCGACTGTTGCCAGCATCCAGTTATCCGATATCTCTGCTCTCTCCAACTAGTCAAAAAGTTCGATCACGAAAAAAAGCCAATAAAACTAGCACATTGAAAAAAAAACTCAGCCGACATGAAATAATGCTAGAAGAACTCTCAGTGCAACTGAGCCAAGAACAGAGCGACGATTTAAATTGTGCAGTACAATTTATGACAACGACAAAAGAAGGACAGGAGGGATTCAATAAGCTGATGAGCGCTACCCAGGAGGAGGCAGGCAAGGAAGTAGCAGATGCAATGAGAGATGCGTGGGAAAAGGACCAAAAGATAAATAGTAAGTGAAGCTGAATAATTAATGTGCACCTAATACTAGTATACGATAATTCCAGAAGTTAAATAAATACGAATACTCAAGTATACCAAATACCAAACACAATTCACTTGCATGCAAATAAGAAAATTACATGATGTATTGAAGGAGCACAATGCACATGTACATGTACAATGTACATGTTAAAAAAGGTCGAGTAT